CCAAGGCTGAGGGACTGTGAGCATGATGCCCACCATCTTGCTGACATGGGCCATTTGAGGTACTGTCCATCCTGGGGACTGTGGTTACACGGTGCTTGCCTGGGACAGGCCCCGTGGGCACACTACAGAGTGGGGTATGGGCAGCTGCAGCCCATGCCCCCATAGGGCAACTGGCATTGTGCCCAGTCCCATAGGACACTGCTGCTCTCCAGCTGGGATGGAGGGGTTCAGGGGATGGTCACACTGTTTGGGAACCACCCTGTTTGGGTGCAGGCATAGGGACAGGGGGGAGCTGGGGGTGTGCTGGTGCCTGCCTTGCCCCAGGTTCTGCCCACCCTTCACGGTGCCAGTTGAGCACAGTGCTGAGGGCTGTGGTGGGGGTGTGGTGGGAGACGTGTGTGGTGCTTAATGGGCTGTGGGGCCACGTGATGAGCCAGGGCACAGAGCCCTCACGCCTGGCCAGGCAGCCCTGGTTACTCATTTGGGAAAGGGCACAAAGGGCAGACGAGCCAGTGGAGGCTGGGAAAAGTCCAGGCATGGCATCAGCCAGCCATGAGAGAGGGGCATGGTAAGGGTGGTGGCAAGGCCACGGGGGAGAGCAGGAGAGTCACGTCAGGGGTGGACATGACTGATGTCATGTGGGTGGCCATATGAGAGGGGCCATGCATCACTGCTGGGTGGGCTCCAGCACCACAAACAGCCCAGGTACAACCCCACTCTGTGCCCTGGGACACCCTGGCACAAGAACAGGGCACGTGCACTGGGCTGCCTGCAGCCAGGCCGGGCTGGGTGCAGACAGAGTTTAAGGCAGGCGCTGGTGGATGAGGGTTGCCAAGAAAAGTTTGAGGGACTGTTCCTGCACTGGGGCTGAGGCAGCCTGTGGTGGCCCATCAGCCTGGCACTGCAAGCCCACCCTCCCAGGCCGTGGCAGGCAACCGGGGGCCGCAGGCGTTGCTGGCAGGGCAGAGCTTTCCAGGCCGGCTGTGCTGTCTGGGAAAGAGATGAGTAAGAGCTGTGGCCCCGGGCGGGAAGGGGAGGGGCAGGACTCCCGGGCTCCCCCGGGAACCAGTGCCGATCCACTCCCACCGCCCTCAGCTGCCACTGCCGCCTCCTTCCCAGTCTCAGTTTCCCCAAAGGCTGGCACAGCTGCCCCTCCTGGGCCTGGCAGGGAAAAAACAAAGGTGAAGCAGGGCCACACTGCCACACGTGCCCTGAGGTGCCTGGCAGGACAGGGACAGGGCGTGGGCCAGCACGGGCAGGCCAGACAGGAGCCAGCAGCATGTGCTGGCCCGCAGGCAGGAGAGCTCGGGGCGCCAGCGTGACTGCAGGGCGGGGAGCTGGGGGGGCTGCATCGCTTACTGCCACCCCCTTGCACCCACGAGTGCTGCCGAACTGCCAGACACACTGTGCCACCGTGCCAGGCTAAGCTGTGCCAAGCTGGCCCTAATGCTGCGAGTCCCTGGTGGCACCATACTGTTCTGGGCCAAACTGGGTTGTTCTGAGCTGAACTGTGCCAGGCCATGCTGTGCCAAGCCAAATTGTGCCAGCCCTGCTTGTCCACGTCAGCCCAAGCTAAACTAAACCGAGCAAAACTGGGTCAGGCCAAATGGAGCTAAACCAGGTGAGGCCCCTGGTCATGCTGTGCTGTACCAAACTGAACCGTTTCATCCCTGTGTTGTGCCATGCTGAGCTGAGCTGAGCCAAGCCAGAATGTGCCAACCCAGCTGAGCTGCACTGAGCCATGGTGGGCTAAGCCATGCTGACTCCCCTGTCATCCCACACTGAGCTGAGCTGTGCTGCATTGTTCTGCACTGAACTGTGCCAGCACTCCATGTCATGCCATGCTGGGCTGAGCTGGACAGAGTTGAACTACACTGGCGGGGCCGTGCCAAGCTGAGCCAAGCAGCTCACTGCAGGTCCCTGGGCTAAAGGGTGACATGCCAAGCCAAGCTGAGCTTAGTAGCAAGGTGCTGCGCTGTGCCACTGCCATGGCACATGCTGAGCTATGCCATGAGCTGTGCTAAGCCAAGCCGTGCCATGCCGAGCTGCGCCGCGCTATGCTGAGCCGTACCATGGCAACACCAAGCCGTGCCATGGCAATACCAAGCCAAGCCATGTCATGGCAATGCCGTGCCGAGCAGGGCCGGCCGCCGCCGTCCCTCCGCGCCTTATTGGCGGCGGCGGAGCAGCCCCGGTGCGGGTCGGCCCCGCCCCGCACTCGCCCCGCGCCGCTCAGCCCGGGCGGGCGGGGGTGTCATTTCCTCCGCGGCGCGGGGCCGGGCCGGGATGGGGCTGTAGTTTGGAGCCGCCATGGAGCGGGCCGAGGGCCGGCCCGGCGCCCCCCAGTACGTGCATGTGCAGCTGCAGGGGGGCGCGCCCTGGGGCTTCACGCTGCGCGGCGGGCTGGAGCACGGCGAGCCCCTCATCGTCTCCAAGGTAGGCACCGCCGGCGCCGTCCCGCGTGGGCTCCGCGGCATCCCCCCGACACGGGCCTCCCGCCCGTGGCGGGGCGCGGGAGGCGGGAGGGGGGACACCCGGGGCGCGGCGGCGTCGGGAGGTGCGGGGAGCCCCGGGCGCGGGGTCGCGTGTCCCGGCGCGCCGGGGCGGGGGCGGCCACTCCGCACCCACGAGCCCCGCGACCCGCCGCTCAGAGCCGCGGGGGGAGAGCGGGAGCGAGGGGGGCGGAGGGACAGCCCGGGCCCGGCGGCAGGAAGAAATTCCTCTGGCACATCCGTTGGGCTGGCGTCGGGGGCGGCCCCCGCGGCAACCCCCCCTGTCCTCGCCGGTGCCGTCCCGCGGGGCGTAGCCGGGGGAGGTCAGCCCCCCTTCGTGTGCCCACTCGTCGGTGCTGCGCCCCCGGGCGCCCCCGGGACCGGGCTCTACGGGGACGTTGAGGGCCACGGTGTGGGGGACCGAAGTCCGTCCCGTCGCGCCCCGGGCACCCCTGGAACGCAGGGGCAGGACCTTGCCCAGGACGGGGCGGACGCCGGGGTGCGGGGCCCGACTGCAGCTGGGAGTGCGGGGTGAGGGTGACCCCCACGGCCGCGGTGTCTCGCCGCACAGGGGGTCACCGATTCCCGGCCCCCGCCGGCCGCATCGCCCTGCGGCGAGACCGGCAGGGAGGCGGGCAGCAGCCGGGGAAGCCCCAGCAGCCGCCTCTCCGCGGTGCCCGGACGGGCCCCTGTCGCCGGGCGGTTTGGCCGCCTGCCCGCCCGGTGCCACCATCCTGCCGGGCCGGGGTGCGGCGGGCCGGGCTGGCGGCCCCGGGGCTGCTCCCTGCCCCGAGCCGGGCTGGTTGCGCCCCCGGGCCGCCCCACGCCCTCGGCGGGACGCGGGCAGCGCGGTCTGGCTGGGGGAGCTGGAAAAGTGGCTCCGGTCCCAGCCCTGCGCCCTGGGGTGGCACCGCCGGCGGGCGAGAGCCGGGGGCGGAGGGGGCAGCTGCCCGCGCCCCGACCGGCTGCCGGGCTCCTCGGGGCGGTGGGTCCCCGCGGGTTCGCTAGCTGCCGGAGGAGGGGATGGGAGGGCCAGGGCATGTTCCCCACTGCTGCTGAGAAGGGGGGGGGTGGTCCTTGCGGGCCGCGGGGTGCCGGCCCCCGCGCTCCTCCGGCCGCGCCGCCGCCGCGTGTGCTCGGCAGACAAAGGGGGCTTGTTCCAACGCTCTGTGCATTCAGGGGAGGGTCCCCCGGGGCCACTGCTCCGCCGCTGTGGCCGGCCGAGGTGTGTGCGGGGAGGGGGCGGCCCCCGCCTGCTGCGCGGGGGGCCCGGGCCCCGCGCCGGAAAGGGGAAGGGCGTCCCCGCACTCGGTGACACAGTTTGGCCATTCCAAACTCCCACTCCGGGCGGGATCCCTTCCTGTGGCAGAGTCCCACGGCGGGGCTCCCATGGGCTCCAGGCCCTCTATGGGGCTGCGAGAGCTCTCTGGCACAGGGTCCCCTTGAGCACGTCGGGGACAAGAAGGGAGGTTGGTGTGGGGCAGGGTGTGCACAGCTCTGGCATTGCTCTGGCTGTGATTCCTAAGAAAAGTTTCTCCTGGGGCAGGCAGATATTGCTGTGAGCCATCTGGTGCCCACCATTAGGGGCCAGAGTGAACCCCAGGGGTGGTGTTCGGGAAGTGTCCAGGGCTGTCCCATTCCAGGTTTGGCTGGCAGTGCTGAGCTCACTGGTGGTGAAGGCAGAACAAGGGGCTGTTTGTGCCAGATTTAGCTCCTGGGGAGTGATGCCAGGGCTGAGCCATGTCCGTCCTGGTGCATGTGATGGCCCAGACGTGGGTGCAGCCCTGGTGGTGTCCTGCAGTAGGGGGGACAGCCTTCGGATCTGACTCAGCCCTGTGGCCGTGGCAGGGCAGAGGACTGGGGTGAAGGTGCAGTCTGTCCTGCCTGCTCTGCCAGTGCCCAGTGGCAGGCAGCAGCATGGCAGGGGGTAAACTCAGGTGCTTCCCTGACTGCATGGTGGGACTGGGAGCCCTCGCAGGCAGCCAGAGTCCCCTGCCAGGAAGGCAGCACTGTGGCTGGTATCTGGGTGGGAGGGCAGCGTGCCTGCACAGGCAGACACATTGGGCTGTGCCTAACCTGGCCATGGCATTGCAGTGCCCAGGTCCCTGAAAAAAGGGGAGGACTGTGGGGTGCTGGGCATAGCTATGCCAGGCAGGGCCATGGGGCACTGCTGGAATGGGCAGGAGGCCTTGCTGCTGCTGCCTGCTTCCCAAAGTGCCATCTTGTCCAGGGGCAGCGGGCTGGCCCCTGAGACCTGGCTGGCACCAGGGCTGGAAAGGGGTGCCCAAAGGCATGTGCACAGTGACTGTTCTGTGGGTGGCTGTAGTGGCTGGCCACATCCACACCAGGCAAGGGGGCATGGGGCACCCCAGGTCCTGCTGCCAGTGGGCACTCTGGCTGCACCTGCTGGGCACTGCTCATCCTGGGACTGCCCACACTGCACCTACCTGCTGGGGCAGAGGGGGTGGGCTGGGGTCCCACATGCTGGCAGCACCGTAGCCTTGTGTCCTCCAAGCTGCAGCAGTACGGGGTACCAGGCTCATTTTGGCCATGGGTGTCAGGGATGGGTAGGCATGTTCCAGGGCTCAGTGCTTCCCCTGCTAGTTGTCTCCCATGGGCACATAGGGCATGATGGCATGCTTTGGGCATTGAAATCACCACGGGTGCCCAGGCAGGCCCGACAGGGGGCTGGAAGCAGCGGCAGGGGGCTGGCATCCACGCCGGACAAAGGGCCCTTGTGCTGCCTGCACCCGCGGGGGAATCTGCTGGGATGGGACATTTTTCTTTCTCCCCCCTCCCCGATGTCCTTTCCTTGCTCAGAAATTCATGTGACCAGAGAAGGGGGGGAGCCCGGCGCGCTCAGATCCTTCTGTGGTGCCTGGGGTTTAGGCAACTGCCCCTTTCCGAAGCCTCTTTCTCCCCCGGCACCCCGTGGCAGCGGCACATCCCCTGGGATGTTCTGGGGGCCGTGCCCCCCCTGACGCCCCTCTCTGTTGCCCAGGTGGAGGATGGGGGCAAGGCTGCACTGTCCCGCCGGCTGCAGCCGGGTGACGAGCTGGTGAACATCAGCGGGACGCCTCTGTACGGGTCCCGCCAGGAGGCCCTGATCCTCATCAAGGGCTCCTACCGCACCCTGAAGATGATCGTTCGCAGGTTGGCAGCGCTGCGGGGGAGGGACACAGGGAGGGCCAGCGGGGCTTCGCCTGCCCAGGGGGTTGGCAGGAGCCTGGAGGTGCCCCTTGCTGGGATGGGATGGGGGTCAGTCCCCCTGTGGCTGCCAGCGCTCTGGGTGGGTGGGGGTTCCCCAGCCAGAGGAGCCGGGGCAGTACGGCGGGCTCGCCACCCCCTTGCTGGGCGGTATCCTCAAGCGTGGCCGCTCCTCTCCCTTCCTGCCTGCCTCCTGCCTGCCTGCCTGGGAAAGGAAGGAGAGGCAGGGCTGGGCCTTGCAGTCTTCCCCCCCACCCCCAATCTGCATCCATTCCCTGGCTGCATCCTGACTGACTCCAGCTCCAGCGGCACTGCCCACTGGGCAGGGGTACCACGGGGCTGTGCTGGGGCTCAGCATCGTCCATGGTGAGTTTGGGGGCTCTGGGAAGGGAAGTCCCTGCACTGACTCGGCAGCTTGTCCTTGCCACCCTCCTTGCCTAGTCAGTGGATGCTGGGGCAGCACTCGGCACTTGGGGGGTTCAGGAGGTGGCTTCTGACCACGTGCCTGTGTGGTGGCATTGGACACTGCTGCCTGCATGTGGCGTGGGGACTGGAGAACCCCACGGCTGCCAGGGGTTGGGATGGGGCCCAGCACAGGACACCCCCCCTCCTCCCCGGAGACAAGATGTGGCCGGTGCTTGCTGGGGATGCTGAGGGACCAAGGAACAAGGGGGGAGAGTCAGGCTTGTGGTGGAGACGAAGATGTGGCCTCAGGGTCCCTTGGCGGAGCTGGTCCAGTCCCGGCAGGGACGTTTGCCCTGCCCGGGGTGTTGCCTGTGGGCTGCGCAGGGGCCACGTCCTCGGTCCCCTGTTGATGCTGGCAACAGAGATGCTGCAGGCAGGGGACTCTGGCCAGTGGGGTGAACCGTGGGATCCCCCTGCCCACTGCCAGGTGCTGGCAGGGCTGGACCCTCCTCACCACCGTCCCCCTTGGGCAGGCGCTGGCCTGGGGGGACAGGAAGCCCCGTAGGAAGTGACTTCAGCCCCGGTTCCTCGGCCTGGCTTCCTCCCCATTCTTGTCCTTTCCCGCTGTTGCTCTTGGCAGGAGGAGTGTGCCCGTCCTCCGCCCCCATTCCTGGCACGTGGCCAAACTCGCCGAAAGCCGCCCCGATGCCGCCACCATGCACTGCCCTGCTGATGCCTTCAGCCTCTCATGGCCCTCAGGGTGTGATGTCAGGTGAGACCCTGGGGCATTCATGAGACTGCGCAAGGGGAGGGGGCACATGGGGCACCCGCTTGGGTCAGGGTGGGGGGTGTGGGGTAGATGCTCACATGCCTGCCCCACACAACTGTCGGGCATCCCCCCTCATCCTTCCACTGCGCTGCCCTTTCCCCTGCCTGTTTACTCCCAGCTCCCGGCAGGAAGGGGCGGTGGCTCTGCCGGAGCTGGCCAGGAGCTGCTTAGTCCCATTGCCCCTGCTGCCAGAGCTGGGAGGTCCCGAGTGGCTGGAGTCAGGCACACCCTGTGTTCCCTGTGCCTGCTCCCCCTGCCAGTGCTGAGGCAATCTTGGTGCTGCTCCCAAACCCAGTGGTGAAGAGCAGGTTGGGACTGCACTGCTCTGTGCCCACTTGTCCCGGGGAGGGTGTATGTGTAGGGGGGTGGGATTTCTGCGGAGCTGGGCAGGGGGTGGCAGACACCCCTAATGCTGGCATGGGGCCGGGCAGCAGTGAGCTGTCCCTGCAGTGGAACCCGCTGTCCCGGCACTGCAGCACCGACCGGAGCAGCTCCATCGGGAGCATGGAGAGCCTGGACCACCCTGGCCAGGCCTACTATGAAGGAGACCCCTCACCCGTTGACCAGGGCATGTACCACAGCAAGCGGGACTCGGCCTATAGCTCCTTCTCTGCCAGCTCCATCGCCTCCGACTGCGCCCTCTCCCTCCGCCCTGAAGAGGCCGTGTCCACTGACTCCAGTTTTCAAGGCTCCTACAAGGCCCCTGACGGGCGCTACCTGACCACAGGGGCTGAGCCATCTGCCAGCCGGCACCCCGAGGCCTGGCGGGCGCCTGTGCCTCCCCAGCCCCCTGTCAGGAGGGACAGCCTGCGGGCAGCCCCGGGCAGCAGAGGGGACAGGCACCGGGCGTCAGTGTCAGCAGACATGCTGCATGCCAAGGGCCGGTGGATCTCCGACACCTTCCTCTGCCAGCGGGATGGGGAGGCGGAGGCGGTGGGCGGGAGGACGCTGGCACCGTACCCCACAAAGGACCGTCTCTCTGCTGACCAGTATTACATGTTGAGCTCCCACCCGGACCAGTGCCCAGCTGAGCCGCTCCTGGGGGAGAGCATGGAGTCTGATGACCGGCTGTATCTGGATGGCAGCATGCACCGAGTGCTGGATGCCACGACAGCAGGTGACAACCCATTGCTGTCCCCCATCAAGGGCCACGTGCCACACCGGCACAGTGCTCCCGAGCAGCTGCTGGCCTCCCAGCTCCGCTCCCTCCAGGTGGGCTCCAGCAGCGAGCGAGCCTCGCCAGCCCCCGATGGGCACCGCTGGACCTTGTCCCCACTGCACCCTGAGGGCAGCCGGGGGGGAACCACAGGGGCTACCCAGGACCCCCCGCTCTGCCCAGAGCCTTGCTGCCGCCCGCCGCCCTGCCACTGCTGCCCCGAGCCTCAGCGAGCCTGCGGGCAGGACGGCCGGGGGGCCAGCCCGGCGCTCAGCACTGAGGGGCCGGCGGAGGAGGAGAGCCGGGCAGGGGCCCGGCGGGCCGGGGGTCCTACCCACCGCTCTGCTCAGATGCGCCGCCGCAGCGACCGCTTCGCCACCAGCCTGCGCAACGAGATCCAGCGGCGCAAGGCCCAGCTGCAGAAGAGCCGGGGTCCCGGTGCCCCCCCGCCTGGCGAGGAGCCGGTGGAGGAGACGGAGGAGCCCCCTGAGAGCAGCGTGCCAGCAGAGGGACCCCCCACCCTGGCTGAGCGTCTCAGCCCTGCGCCGAGCGAGGACGGCAGGAACGCTGGCCGCTCGGGGGACCGGGGTATCCCCACTCCTGACCCGCTGCCAGCCCCCAAAGGGCCCCCATCCCCCGAGCGGGCGGTGCCAACAGCCAGGGGCCGCTGGCGCTGGTCCCCGGAGCGCAAGCTGCAGCCGCAGCGCTCGCCCACCCCCGGTGAGCTGGAGGGCTACAGCCAGGGCCCGGTGGCCCGCAGCTCCCCACCACAGGGCAGCGACGAGGCCGTCCTCCTGCCCTTTGCCGACCGCCGCCGGTTCTTTGAGGAGAGCAGCCGGCCGGCACCGCCCCAGCACAGCAAGCCCCCAGTGGGCGATCCCGGTGCCTTCCAGCCCCATGGCCCCGAGCACCGGGATGTCCGCCGCCTCTCCGTGGACCAGCCTTACAGCCCCCCGTCCCCCAGCCGCCCTGGCTCTGCCGGCCCCTACGCTGAGTGCTGCCGGGAGCAGCCCCCCTGCTACAAGCCGCTGGGGAGGCCAGGGGAGCTGGATTATGCGCGGGGCTTTTCCTACCCCTATGGGGTTTCCCTGCGCCCCGAGCCCTGCCACTACTGCGGAGGGGACCCGTGCCCACCGCCGCTGCCTCGCGGTCATCCCTGCCGCTGCCACCCCCAGCCCTGGGTGCGCTGCCCCGACTGCTGCTGCCCGGCCCCCCGTCCTGGGCGAGAGGAGAGCGACGCGTGGCCCCCCCGGAGAGCTTTCGCCCCGGTGAGTAACTCCACCCGGGACTGTGCTGGGGAGCAGCACTGGCAACCCCTTGCACTCCTGGAGTGTGACCTTGGGTTGGGGTGCGGAGGAGTACTGTGCCCATGTTGTTCCTGCAGACCCACTGCATGCCTTCTGCGCCTGAATGGGGATGGGATGGGGTTGCTGGGAAGGGGGATGTAGACCCCTCTTTCACACTCCCTCTCCTTCCCCCACACAGGAATTTCCTCAGGATGAGTGGGAGCCACCTGCGATAACCAGGAAAGTCAGCCAGTCTGTCAGGTGAGCCCATGCCAGGTACTGGAGTGCTGGGATGTGTGTGCCATTCAGTGGGGACCTTCACCAGGGAGAGGTGGGGACTGCCATGATTTTGGTTGGGGATATACAAAGCGTTTCCTGTAATGCCTTGTCCATCTCAACGTGGTGCCTGTGAAACAGGAGCATGTGCCACCTTGGGCACACAGGGACAGGGGGCATGAGGAGGCATCCACAGCAAGGAGGGTCCCTCCTTGCCCATCCCCAGAGGTCTGGGGGCATCTCCAGGGGGTTCTGCCCAGCAGGAGAGCGTGGACTTCCCCCACCACCAGGGCTGGGTGACTCCAGCTGGGGAAAATGAGGCAGGGGTGGGCATGAGCTGCCGGGAGGTGACAGTGTGTGGGGGGACGGGTGTCTCCTTCTCTCCCCAGTGAGCTCTCCCACTACCAAATGGGCTTCCAAAGGCTTGGCCCCTTTCACACCTGCTTTGAGAGCGCCGAGCCGGAGTGGCCACCCTGCTACCGGGCCACATCCACGCACGACCTCTCGTGGGATAGTGACCGCCTGGCCCGCACGCCTGAGAGCCCCCCGGACCCGCTGCACCGCCCACTGCGGGGCAGAGCCTTCTCCGAGAGCCACCTCAACCTGGAACCTGCCAGTCCCCGGGGCCGCGAACGGAAGGACCTCTTCCGTGCTAAGCTGGACCAACCCCGCATCCCCAAAAAGAAGGGCCCCCCGCCTCCCCGCCCACCTCCCCCCAACTGGGAGAAGTACCGGCAGCGCCGGGCATCCCAGCACCCGCCGGATGGTGCTGGGCACGGCTCTGCCTTTGCCGTCCCGGTGCCGCCCCGCAGCATTGCTGATGTGGTGCGTGAGCGGTCACAGAGCCTCACTGGGGAGCAGGGGGGCCGGTCCTGGGGGCATGCTGCTCGCCCCCCTGCTCCACCAGGCGCCTGCTCCCGTCCCGAGCCCCCCGGATCACTTCGCAGGACTCCTGGGCCCGATGTTGGCAACGCCGAGATTTACAGGCAAGTGCTGCCGTGGCTTGGGGGTGGGAGTGGGGCTGCAGGTACAGCCTTAACACGGGTGGGCTTCTGCGGTCACGTGGCCCCTTGTACCCTGCATCAGAGCATCCTAATCCACCCCTTGGGGCACACTCTGGGGTTTGTTTGGGGTGGGGGGTGTCCCTGACCTCTTTGCCTGGAGTGGCCACAGCCCTCCTGCCCATTCCTGTCCCCAGGACAGGGATGGGCAGGGGGGCTGACGTGCCCCTGGGGGGTGTTGACAGGGTGGCAGGGGCTGGGGAGAAGCGGCCAAAGGCAAAGAAGCCCTGGGAGATGGAGGAGCAGCCCCAAAGGCTCATCCGGAACCCGGAGCGGGGCTGTGCTGGTCCCTGTGGGGTGGGTGAGTGCTCCCCACCCCTGCCTGGTGGCCCCAGCCCGGCTGTGCCAGAGGCACTCAAGCCCAGTCCTGGGGCAGCGGAGGGGGTGAGCTGCCAGGGCAGCCGGCCCCAGCCCCGCCGCGTGGACTCAGAGGAACTGCTGTGGAATATGGCAGTCAGGGACCACTCCCTGGCCAATGTCCATGCCCCTTTGGCCCCCTTTGGCACCACCACTGAGGTGATCGGTGAGCTGCTGGTGGCGGGGGAGCGACAGGCCTGGCGGGAGCGTCTCCAGCAGGACTGGCACCTGGAGGCCCTGGCACAGGACAGGTAGGGCTGGTGTAGTACTGAATGCTGTGCGGAGGGCAGGCTGCACCCTGCCACCCCCAGCACTGACCCCTGCCCCCCCCAGGCAAGGCTTTGAGCCCATCTCACCACCCCCTGGGAGTGTTGCCAGCTCCAGCTCCTTCCCGGTGCACTACACTGCAGCAGCAGGCAAAGCTGAGCCGCTCAGCAAGGTGACAGCGCTGCCAGAGGTAGTGGAGGGGAGCTCAGAGGATGATGATGAGGAGGAAGTGGACCAGGAGCTGGTAGAAAAGAAGGTACAGGGACTGCTCGGGCCAACACCCTCGGGGTTCCCCACTGCCCTCACCAGGTGCTCATGGGCACTGGGGGCATTGCAGGATTTTCACAGGGATTGGGGCATCACTGATGGCTCACGGGAACAGAGGGCATCTCTAGGTGCTCATGGGGACCAGGGACACTGCTGGGTGCTCATGGAGACCAGGAACATTGCTGCATGCTCACAGGGGCTGGGAGATGCGAGAACCAGGGCTGTTGTCAGGTGCTTGCGGGGCCTGGGAGTGTCACCAGATGCTCATGGGGAGCACGGACATCTCTAGATGCTCAGTGCTTGCAGGGACTGGGACATTCCCAGATGCCCACAGGGTCCAGGGGCATCCCTTGGCTGCTCATGGGGTCTGAGAAATTGCCAGATGCTTGTGGGGACTGGGGGCATTGCCAGTAGCTCATGGGAACCAGGGATACCGCCAGGTTCTTGTGTTCTGTGGGGCTCAGCACAGTGCCCCTACACCCCTGTGCCAGTCCCCCAGTCCCATGGGGGGTGGCCCCAGTTGCCCCTGACCCTTTTGCTCTGGCAGCTGCAGCTGATCGAGAGCCTGAGCCGCAAGCTGGCGGTGCTGCGGGAGGCACAGCGGGGGCTGCAGGAGGACATCAGCGCCAACGGGGCGCTGGGCGACGACGTGTCTGCCCGCCTGCAAGCCCTCTGCACCCCAGGGGAGTTCGACAAGTACCGCCTCTTCGTGGGTGACCTGGACAAGGTGGTCAACCTCCTGCTCTCCCTCTCGGGGCGCCTGGCCCGGGTGGAGGCTGCCCTGGGCAGCCTGGGGCCACACGCCCCCGCCGAGGACAAGGTGGGCATGGGGCAGGGAGGCACCTGCGAGGCCTTGGGGTGTGGGACACCCTGGCGACGCCCCCCGTCTCGCCCACAGCTGGCCCTGCGGGAGAAGCGGCGGCTGCTGGTGGCGCAGCTGGAGGATGCCAAGGAGCTGAAGGAGCACGTGGGGCGGCGGGAGGAGGCGGTGGGTGCCATGGTGGCGCGGTACCTGCCCGCCGAGCACCTCCAGGACTACCAGCACTTCGTCAAGATGAAGTCAGCCCTCATTGCTGAGCAGCGGGAGCTGGAGGAGAAGATCAAGCTGGGCCAGGAGCAGCTCCGGTGCCTGCGCGAGAGCCTTGGCCAGGCCTCCAAGGGCTGCTAACCCCGTACCCAGCCTCCCTCTGGGACCCTGGCTGTGGCCCCAGCTTGCTGCCAAAGCAGATCCAGCCCCTCATGGGCTCTCCCTATGTCTGTCCATCTGTCCAGCCCCTGCCTTTTATTTATTTCTTTGGTTTACCAAGCAGGGGAGGGGCTGCCAGTCCAGATGCGGAGAGGGGGTGTTGTGCCAAAGAGCTGTCATGGACTCTGTGGCCACCCAGCATCCTGTGGCTCAGCTGGACCAAATGGATGGATGCTGCCATCACCCTCAGAGCTCTTTCTGTGCTGATGGGGGTCCTTCCACCTCATCCTGGACACCTGTCCTGCATTCGGTGCTGCACCACATGCCTTAAACACCCCCCAGCTGCCTTGGGGCATATCCATGCAGTGCCTGAAAGGGTTAAAGCATGCTTGTCCTCTGTCCTGTCTATTTGTCCAGCTCTGTCCATCTGTCCGGTGGGAGCTGAAGGAATTTCAGCCCCGGCATCCTCTTCCTCTCCATTGTATCTGAAACAATGGCCCTGGCCAGCGGGTTCTTAACCCGCTCCCCGCTGGCTGAGGCACCACGGGGAGCCACAGTGGGTGCCAGTGGGTGCTGTGTACCCCTCTCCTGGGGAACACTGCAGTGGGTGCCCCTGGGATGGTGCCCTGCCAGGGCATGGGGTTCTGGGACCAGTAGACTGTGGCCTGTGGCTACCCCCTATCACCCACGCTGTGGGCATGGGAACCAGCAGGTCTCATCCAGCCCTCACCTGCAGCTTCTGGCCCAACACCAGAAGTGATTAATAGAGGAAAAAACACATTAAGGATGAACCGGGGTACTTGTCCCCTCCTCTTTGCTGCAACAGCCCCAAATAGCACTTATATGTCAGCCCCTCCACTGTTCATCTGTCTCCATAGGCTGGGCAGGTGCCTTGCTACTGATTTTGCACAGGGGTTTCATGCAACCAGCAGCAGCTTGGGGCAGGGGGTAAAGTGATTTGAGAGGGCAGTGTGGGCTCCAGCCCCTTTGGCGGCCCCATAGCTGGACAGCCCAGTCCCAGGGTGCAGGCAGCACCCACTCCTGCCCTCCTGCCCTCCTGCCCCTGCAGCAGCCCCCTTGTGTGGCTGCCCCTCCCTGTTGGCCCCCCTCAGCCTGTTGAACAATCCAGCCCACAGCTGCCAGGCTGTACCTTGGGATAGTGCCTGGCAGGAGTGGGGTCGCCAACATTCCCTCCATCTCAGCTGCCCCCAGGATCATTGCTAGGACCAAAGACTGCACCCACTGGGTGCCATACTGCTCTCGGGGTGGGAATCAGCAGCCCTCCCCAGGGCCCTCTGCTGGGGGAGCTGCTGGTGCCCGTGCATTGCTGCATGCCGTCGTGCCTCACACTAAAGCAGCAGCAGGAGCTGCACATCTGTCCCAGCTCTGTCTCGTGTGGTTTATCCCTGTGTCCTGTCAAGTGGCACCGGGGAAGGGGGCGGACAATTACTCCAACTGGGGTGAGCCAAGCCTTGGCAAGCTCTTGGGACCCGAATGGGGTTACAGAGGGTCACAGGGGGCACCTGGAATGCAGCTGTGGGCAGGGAGCCCTCTGCACCCAGTGCTTCCAGGCTGGGCTGGAGCAGGGGGCAGTGCCTGGACCACTCCCCAGGAGCACGTGGAAGGGGCACCGCACTCGAGTGGCGGATGTCGCGGTGTCCCTGGCACTCAGCCACGGCATCGCAGCCTGACCTTTTGGGCGAGGGGGCGGTGGCCGTGTCCTCTCGGGGATGTCGCAGCGCCGGGCGGGCTGCGGGGTGCCCCGGCTGGCGGCGGGGCGGTGCTGCCCGGTGCCTTGCCCTGGGTCTCAGCCTGCCCGCCGGTCGCTCGGCGGGGTCCCGCACGGCCTCGGGCGCGGCGGCGGCCGCTGGGCGGCGCCGGTGAGCGCGCGCAGGTGGGTGCGGGAGCGCAGGTGGGCGCGGGCACGCGCGGCGGCGGGCGCGCGCACAGGGGCTGGCGCGGGACCCCGGGGATGCTCCAGCGTGAGCCCCGCGCGGGTGAGCGTGAGTGTGAATGTGAGCGTGAGTGTGAGCACAGGCTGAGTGTGGGTGTGAGTGTGGGCAAGAGCACAGCAGGGTACGTGTGTGCATGCACACGGTGCTCGGCTGAAAGCACGCGGAGTGCAAGCACGCGGCTGCGCGGGGCGTACGGGCACACGCGTGTCAGAGCACACGGGTGGGCACACGCCTGTGAGCACACACAGCTGAGCGTGCACACACACATGCGAGCAGACATGCATGTGCCATGCGTGTGAGCGCATGTGCGCAGGGCACAGAGGGGGGCTCAGCCCCAGCACAAGCACTGGTGAGTGACTGCACATGCAGGTGAACACACACACACACACACACACACACACACACACACACGGGAACGTGTCCCCATATATACATTGTGCATAAGTGAACGCATGCACACGGGTGGGTGTGCACACCCAGGTGAGCAAACGCATGTGTGGGTGAACGTGGGCATAAGTGTGAGTGGGCAGGGCCACTTGTGCCAGCCCACGCACACAGGTAACCGCAGGCATGGGGAGGGGGGTGCATGCAGGCATGGGGCTGTGCCCCACAGCCTCATTTAAGACCCCCTTGCCCCTCCGTGCAGGTCCTGCTGCTGCCAGGCAGGACTGTGGGCCCAGGGCATGGTGGCATGGCCAGGCTCTGGGTATGGAGGCCCTCAGTGCTGGATTGCAGCCATGGGATTGGGGGTCCTGTGGATCCCTGTGTGGGACCCCAGGGGAGCTGCAGGAATGTGCAGCCCATCATAGCATAGGTGAAAACAGAACCCACAAAGGTGGGGTAGCCCCTGGCCCTGGAGTCTCTCTACCCATCACTATGATCTCTCCATTTTACAGGTCCTGGCTCTGTCCTGCTGTATCCCACACATTTTGTCCTGAGGGACCAGGAGGTGGGGAAGGATGAGGATATGGTGGATAGTGATGCTTCAGTGAGAGACCCCAGCCCCATGTGGGAGATGGGGAGTCCCAGAACATGGAGGTCCAAACCCCACAGTATGCCTTCTTGTCCTTGCTGCTCATTGGAGCCCAAAGGCCAAAGCCATGCATTGGGCAGGGACAAGGGAGCCCTCTCTGCCTCTGGGCATGGCCCAGCAGAGGGGTGGGTTGTGGTTTGGGAGGCTGCAGAACTCTTGTCCAGGCCTGCCTGGTTGCCAGCATGAGGGCCCAGAGCAGCAGTGGGTAAGATGAGAATGGGGGACCATGGGACATCGTGGGGTGGAAAGTGATGCCAGACCCTCTCTCCCTGCCCATGGGGTGTTTGGCAGCACACCCCTACATGTGAGTGCACGTGTGTGCACTCCAGCACACACTCCAGAGCATGTTCTATTCAAACACAGCTCTGGGGAGGGGGGTGGACATCTTCCAGGGATGCTCCAAGCCCTATCCAACCTGTCTTTGAACATTTCCAGGGATGGGCCAGCCACAGCTTCTCTAGGCAACCTGTGTCAGTGCCTCACCACCCTCATGGTAAAGGATTTCCTCTTTCTGTCCAACCAACCCCACCATCGGTCACTTTGACCCTTGTCCTGTCATGACAGGCCCTGGGAAAACTCTCTCTTCCTTCGGAGCTCCCTTAATATATTGAAATGCTGCCCTAAGGTTTCCCCAGAGCCTTCTCATCTCCAGGCTGACCAACCCCAGCTCTCTTAGCCTGTCTCCATAGTAGGTAGCTTCCAGCCCTCAGAGCATCTCTGTGGTCTCCTCCCAACCTGCTCCAACAGCTCCACATCCTCCTTGTGCTGGAGGCCCCAGACCTGGACCCAGCACTCCTGGGGGTCTCACCAGAGCAGAGGGGGAGAACTCCCTCCCTCATCCTGCTTCCCATGCTGCTGGGGGTGCACTCAGGACACGGATGGCTTTCTAGGCTGCCAGCACGTTTACATGCACATGCAAGTGTGTGTACAAGCAAGTGTGTGGAGATGTCCATGCGTGTGCTCATCCGTGCCTGTATGTGCCCATGTGTGTGTTGCCATGTGCCCATGTGGTTGCACAGCAATTGTGCACATGCTCACCCACGCCTGCCTGTGCACATGTGGGCACGTGCACACAAATGAGGGTGGCCACGGTGTCCGTGCCCACCCATGCCAGCCTTGTGCCTGCCCTCACCCGTGTCAGGGGCTCACAAATATACGCACAGTGGCTGTGTGTGTGCTCGCCTGGTGCATGTGCTTTCTCATGCCTGGCATGTGCAGGCTTGGGCATGTGGTGGCCTGTGACCACACACATGGGCATGGAAGCCACGCACATGCCTGCCTGTGCTTGGATGGTGCACACACATGTGTGCAGCCGTGATGCCTGTGCACGTGCTGGCCCTCGCAGCACATACGTGCCCGGTGGTGGTGCACGCCCACGAGCGATGCACACGTATGTGCAAGGTGGCATCTCATGTGCACGCCCGTGCCCGGGCTGTGCCTGCCCCTGCATGTGCCGGGCATGTGAACACGTATGTGCGGGCCGGCAGCGCGTGTGCGCGCCCACTCCGGGGGAGGATGGGGGGGGCTGTGCGCGCCTGTGCGCACGCGGGAGCGCGCACACATATGTGCGCGGCCGTGGCGGCGGTGCCCGTGCGCGCCCGCGCCGGGTGTTGCCCGCACCGTGTCCGCGTGGGCGGGCGGGCGCGCACGTGCTCCGCCGTGCCCGCGCGGGTGCCGCACACGGATGCGCGCGGCGGGTGCCCGCCGTGCCCGCATGCTCGGGGCCGTGCGTGGGCCGCCCGAGCCGCGCAGCAGCGCCCGCCGCGCCGAGCAGGCCGGGGCTTGCGGCAGGGGCAGGGCCGGGGCTGCCTGCGGAGGCACGTCCCGGCGGGGCCAGGGGGGGCTGCGGACGGCGGGCGGGGGCCGAAGGAAGAGCGACCTTGCACCGGCAGCGGCGGCGGCTCGGGTCGCGCAAGGTGTGTGCGGAGCGGGGGGCGCTCCGCCTTCCCCCCCCGCCCGGGCGTGCTGCGGGATGCTCGGCGGGGACCCGGCTCCCCGGCAGCGCCGAGGCTGGAGGGGGGAATGCGCCCAGGAGGGGGGTGGTCATCAGGACAGCGCTCGCTCCCTCCTGCCTGCCCTTCCCGCAACGCTTGTTGCTGCGCGGGGAGACGGCGCCGCGATTGCCGGCAGCCGCGGGGAAGGGGGACGAGGGGGGGGAGCGGCGGAGCCGGCCCGCGGTAGACGCGTGGGGCCCGGCACGGCGCCGTGGGGTGCCCCCCCCTCCGCCCCCGGCCCGGGCACGGCAGCCCTGCAGCCGTTCAGGCTCGCTCGTCCAGGTAGGTGTTCCCCCGGTCCCCCCGCAGCCCTGGGGGCCGGCAGGGATGCCGTGGGGAGATGGCTTCCCCCGCATGCGGCAACCCCGCACCCCCCTTCCATCCCAGCCCGCCCGCAGACACCTGCTCGGGGCTGGCGACCCACGCGCGGGGCGGGACGTGCTCCCATCCGTTCCCGGTTGCTGGAGCCAGGTGGATGGCGGGGGGCAGCTGCTGCTTTTCATGGAGACCGCCCGCAGCCCCCGTCCACGCAGCAGCACCCGGGGGATGGGTAGCGAGGGGGGCTAGCACAGGCTGCGGGGAGGGGGTGCGCCCCTCTGCACCAGTGCCAGGGCGTGGGGCAGCCACAGTCTCCCGCGGCCGAGCCAGGAACGGCGTTGCGGTGTCAGGCGGGCTGAGGAAGAGTTGGGACACCGAAAAAAGGCAAGGACGGGAAACTTTGCCTGCAAGGATGCCACCCTGAGCGGCGTTCCTGGGCGAGGAAGCGCCATCTCCCTTGATTTCCAGGATTGCACCTCCCAGCTGGCTGAGCCCCAGAGGGTGAGGGGCCACGCATCCCCTTTCAGGGCTCTTCCTCCACTCCTGAGTGTCCTTGTCCTCTCAGGGCTGTCACAGGAGGCTGCAGAGCCCTGAGCCAAACCGGGTGGGAAGATGGCCGAGAAGCTGGTGCCTGGGGACCTGTTCTTGAGGAAGACCCGTGAGTCGGTGTCCTCCCTGGACTCGGACAAGCTGGCACCCATCTCACCCGAGGTGGGCGGTGAGGAGTCGTCCGACAGCGAGGGCGAGCAGGAGGACAGTTCCCACAAGCTCATCCGGAAGGTTTCCACCTCGGGGCAGATGAGGAGCAAGGTCAGGGCTGTGGGGTGCCTGGGGTGAGGGGCTGGTTGGGTGTGGGGTACTGCCAAGAGTGGGGCAGGGCAGTTCACCTGCTCCAGGGTGTAAATCAGTGCCAGGCACTTGCTGCTGGCAGACTCGACCCAGCCAGAGCCAGGAGGGTTCTGGCCCCTGTGCCCTGCAGGAGGGCACATAGAAAAGGTGCAAACCCCACAGTGGTAGTGTCAGTATTGGTCCCATGGGGCTGTGGAGTGCGGATTTTTTCCCACCATTCAGGAACAGAGTCTCTCCCATACCTGGACTGCCTTCATCCCGTGTTTGTATCCCCTGGGTTCCCCCTGTGTTCTCCCACCCCGTGTCCCTGGAGGAGGAGGACTCTTTTCGGGGAGGCTCTGCCCCGTGGATGCTCTGTGGCTGAGATTTAGGGTCCTGTCAGTTCCACGGGCTCCTGGCATCCCACACCCTGCTGCAGGCACTGCGTGTGCAGCGCTTGGTGGGTGGCAAAATGGAATCTGCATCTTTCCTAGTGCCCCAGATTCGTTTGGCGGTGCCAGCTCCCCTGTGGACCCCATTCCTACAGTCTTCCCTAGGTCCAATCCCCTGTGGTGGTTTGTTGGATGGATGGGGACACCTTTGAGGTCAGACGTGACACTCGTGCTTCTCGGCCATTGGCATGACAGCAGCTGGACGGTGTGTGTGTCACAGTTTGCTCAGAGGAAGCTATTTTAGTAGGACCTACAAAAATAAGGGGCGCAGCGCCTTTGGCCAGGCAGCAGCGCGTGGCCATTGGTGTCCCAGGTGGGGGCAGTGAAATGGCCAGGCACCTCCCGCCTGCAGCGCAGGGAGAAATAACCTGGGCCGAATGGCCGAGTTGGGAAGCGGGGAGAGAAGGAGGTTTGGGGGGCGGCGTTTTGGGGAGGGAGGATGTGGGCACAACACCGGGAGGATGCTCTGGGCGGCGTGCCGGGCGAGCGGTCCCTTTGCGTCCGCCTTCCGGCTGCGGGCAGGAGGTGGCAGAGTGAGTCAAGGTGGTGCCTGCAGTGCTGGGCGGCGCGCAGGGGCTGCCAGAAGTCCCCCCGCAGCCGGCCTCTGGTGCCAGCCACCCCTCGATGGGGATTTGGTGGCTGCACTACCCTGAGGAAGGGGCGGACAGCTCTGAAAACGCGGCAGAAGGATGCAGTTGCGGAGCACAAGGGTGTCCCCGGGTTCTGGTGTTGAGTGCTGCGGGCACGGAGGGAGGCAGTGGGGATGGGGTGGTGTGCTGGGTCCGGTGGCAGCTTGGGGATGCTTGGGGCTGGGACGGGCTCCCGCTGGCCCTGGATTGGCTGTTGTGCCAAGCCTGGTGCACTGGCATGAGGTGGGGCAAAGGGCTCTTGCCCAGGGGTGTGGAAATTGCATGCTCCCAACGTGGCACCGTGGAGTTTTCCTGCTTGGCAGGAGACATTTCAGGGGCATGCGGCATTGAGGGGGCTCTCGCTGAGTCCCTCTGGATGCTCATGGAGCGTGCCTCAGTTTCCCTTTCTTTGGAGCAGGCTGGCATCAGCTGTGCCCAGCCTGGCTGCGAGGTGGGTGCCGTGGGCTGTGCCAGGTTCAGGGGGCTGTGGGGGGGGGCACGGTGGGAAGCCAGGACGGTGGGCAGGGTCCTGGGAGCCCTCAGCACTCTCCCAAAGGGGTGGCAGCAGGCGCTGGAATTTGCCACGCAGAACTTGCCATGCTGTGGGGCACAGGGACATTGCAGGGAGCCATCAATGCTAGGAAACCTGAGAGAAAGGGCGGATGACTGGGTTGTGCCCGGGTCTTAGAGCAGCAGCACAGGGACATGAGCAGGCTCTGAGCCCCCAGCTCAGGCACCACAGCCCCCCCTGCCATCAGCAGGTTCAGCCTCGCCGCTGACAGGCTGCGCGTGGGGAAAGGCTGAGCTGCCGACTCCCTGCCTGCATCCTGCCTGGCATGAGCAATTAGCCATGCAGGAGGTGATGCTGTGCAGCGTGCCAGGGGAGGCAGGTGGCGTGATGGATGGGCAGGCGGAAAGGACGCGTCTGAGTTAACAGCCCGCGGAGCAGGGAAGAGAGGGTGTGAGCCTGGCTGGGCTGGAGCTGGAGGGGCTGAGGGCGAGCTGTGTATGCCTCCCCTGCCACCTAAGTGTTTTCAGGGTTGGGGTTCACTGTTTTTCCTGAGGATTCCTTTGCCTTGGTCCTGATGGGCAGGACCACTCTTGCCAGCCTGGCTCCTTGCTGGATGGGCTCCTTCCTTCCCTATGGAGATGAGGATTTTGGGATGAGATTGCTTCTGCCACGTAGGTCAGGCTGTCCCTGGCTCACAGTTCTGCCACAGCACGTGTGCTGCTCATCACTCCAGCCACGGCCACAGTGTGTGTACCATGGCAGGCACCTTCCCGAGCCACCTCTACACCCCTGTCACCCGTGTGGGGCTGGGGTGAGGGGAGGGAACCATTGCCTGCACCCCAGGGGAAGGTACCTAATGAGCACACAGTTAATGAGGGAGAGAGAGTCCAGTGCCAGGGCAGCAGCTCCTGAGACAACCGGGTTAGTGGCAGGGGGAGGGAGCACACTGGCCTACTTTTTGGCCGTTGGCAGTGGGTGAAGTGCTGGAGGGGGTCTATAGGAGCTTGCCATGTTGGGGGGCTGGGAGGGGTCAGGACCCCCACCCCACTGCCCATCCACACTGACAGGGGGGACCCAGGTGATGGGAGTGAGCAGCTTCCCCCATGCCAGGCTGTTGTCCAGCCCCTGGGACAGGAGCAGGTGAGGATCATTTTGGGATCCACTGAATCCTTCCTGATTGCCACTCCCCGGTCCCAGTGCCTCCACACCCCAAATGCCCATTCCCCCACCCCCTCCTCAAATCTCCCCATCAATCTTGTCCCCCCACTCCACCCCCAACTTGGCTTCCTCCAGGCTGGAACTGTGGATGCCCTGCAGGGCATTTTGTGCCAGCATCGGCTTGGAGGCGGAGAGGTCATTGTGCTCAGTGACAATGACAGTGCCAGGTGCAGGTGCCCCCGCCAGACTGAATAGCCCCAGGACACGTCGGGTCTTGCTGTCAGCCCCTTCTCTTCCTCCTCAATGCATCTGGGGGCTGCCAGTTGCCTGCACCAGGTTCTAGGGGGGTGCAAGGGCAGAGCGGGAGGGGGATGCTCCCCGGCGCTGGTCCCCTTAGGGCTGGGCATGGAGGGGAAAGAGGGGACACAGACTCTGAGGTGCACTAACACATTTAAGGTGCTGGGGATGGGGGGGGCACATCCTACCCTTGTGGCCAGGGCGCTCAGCTCCCAGCACTGCCTTGGCACAGGCTGTCCTGGCAGCTGAGCGGAGGCGGGGAGGGATCCGGCAGCGCTGCTTGGTTCTGGGGTGCTGGCACCAGAGCTGGGAGGTGGAGGCACTGAGAGGGACACAGTGCATGCCAGGGATCCAGGGTTGCCCACAGTGTGGGCACAATGTGCGTGGCCATGGTGGGCAGGGGCATGGCTTGTCTGCTGTTTGCAAAGGGGAGTCATGTTCATAATTCCTGATCTTGAGATAACGTCACAGGTGCTTGGTGGGGCTGGGGGACCCACCAGCATCCTCCCAGGGGGCTTGGTGAGGTCAGTGGGATTAGTGGTACTCCAAGGAATGGGTGCTTGTCATCCTTGCTGGAGGCACTGGGAATCCTGCAGGCTCAGGGTGCCCCAGGGATGGGGCAAGTGGTGCCTGTGGATGTTGAGCTGTTGGGGCAGCTGTGGGGAGCCTGGTGGGGCGGTGCTGTAGAGCCAGGCTGTAGGGAGGGCTGCCTGCTGACGTCTGAAACCTGGCCAAAAGACAAGGAAAGCAAGGTAGAGCTGCTGGGGCCAGACCTGGAAACCTCCCTCCTGCAGCAGGAGGGTGGCATCTGGCTCCCAGGCAGTGCATTGTCCAGACTTGACACTGGTGGGAGACTGGAGCATCCCTTGTATGGAGAGAGGCTGGGAGAGCTGGGACTGTTCAGCCTGGAGGGGAGGTTGTATCCAGGGGGTCCTCAGTGGTGTGGATCAATATTTGAAGGGGAGGGTGCCACAAAGAGGGAACCATGTTCTCGATGTTGTCTGCCAATGGGCACAGATGAAACAATAGGAAATTGCATCTGAACACAAGAAAACACTGCCTGCGACCAGGGAGGCTGGGCTTGCTCTCATTAATCAGGGCTCACCAAGCCAGTGCCTGGGGTGTGAAGATAGCCCCAGTGTCGCCAGCCGGATGTTTGAGGTTTCTCAAGCACCCTGCCCTCTCTCCCCGCTCACTTTTTCCATTATGCAAGCGTCTCTCTTGCCTGTCCGTGGCTGGGCAGGGTGGGAGGGCTGTGCCTGGCAGCACTGGGGCACAAGGGGTAGGGGGGAGCCAGCACGGGGTGGGCTGGTATGGGATGCCTGCCAGCAAGATGCCTGGGGACTGATGTGGCTGTAGATAGGGAAGCACAAGCTCATTTCTAAAAAGAAGCTGCTGGGGGATGAGGTGTGAGGGGGATTGCCTTTCTTCTGGGTGCTCCTTCCCTCATTCCTCTCCGTTAATTCTCCGTCCCCTTTCAATGGTCTGAGCCTCGTGGCAACCATGTAATGGCATGTCAGGACCGTTGCCGGAATCTCCTTTCAAGCATCCACCCAGCACTGGGAAGGGGTATTTGTGGTCCTGCAATGGCAGCAGGGGTCCTCAGGGAGCAGATGAGCCTGTTGGGCCACAGCACGCCCTGGGCAACGAGCCCTCTGGTCCCGGAAGAGCTCTGCTGTGTTGCAAAGCCTGATAAGGTTTCCAACCGACTCTAGTCCACGGGGTACCCAGGAGCTGCTGGCAGCCCTACTGCTGGGCTGTTTGAGGGCTGCTAGCTCTCCTCTGCTGTTCTGGCATCTGCTGGCTCAGCTCTGACCCAACTGGACCCCAGCTTGTACCCGGTGGGCTGCTGCATTTGGAGGAGGAGGGCAGCTGCCTGGAATGATGCTGGTGCGATGCAGGTCGGTGTGTTGGCAGGTGATCGGTCTTCTCTCCCCTCTCCTCCTCCCCAGTGAGGCATTGCGTGGTCACAGGGACAAGCATATTCCCTCAGGAGTCGTGTAGGGCTGCCAACTGGGTGGGCAGGCAAGTGTGGTGCTCATCAGCCATATGTGCCAGCATTCCTGAGTAACAACCTTCCTGGCTCTTCTCCAGCAGCTGCTTCGCTGTCCAAGCCAATCCCAGCAGGAAAACCCTCCTGCCCCAGCTGAGGTCAGACCTGGCTGCACAACAGGCTCTTCCCAGGAATGATGGTGGCAGAGCTGGGAGAAGGGGGATGGCAGAGTGGAACAGGAACCTGGAGCTCTGCCTTAGGGCTGAGGGAAGGGTTGGGATTTTGGAGTGCACCCTGGCCCGGAAGAAGCCCTGCTGGAGTGTGGTCCCAGGGGGCAATGAGCTCACCTAGGCTGTGCTTCATTCAATGTATGCCAAGCATACAGCCAGCCTGTGGCATGATGGCCCCTGGGACCAGCCCAGTCCTAGCAGGGCACTTTACTGGAGGCTGGCCATCCTTACAGGGCCATTTTTAGCTGTGTCTTCTCCAAGAAGACCCTGCTGCCACTGCTGCTCCAGCTGCCTCTGAGCTGGAGGTGGCAGTTTGTCTGCGGATACCGTATGGTTTCATTTTTGCCTTTGCCTCCCCACCCTGCATCTCTGGGATACCCCCAGTGCTGGGCACAACCCGGCACAACCCGTGCTGAGTCCCCTGGGCTGGAGAGAGCAGGGATGGACCTCAGGATGGGGCAGTGGAGTGCTAGGGCAGAGCCCTGCAGAGGGGAGCTGGTCTTGCACTGGTTGCTGGGCAGGTTGCACGTGGCTCTGGGTGTTGTCACACTGCTCACCACCTCTGTTGCTGGTATGGGACCAGTGCTGACTTTGCTGAGGGTCCCTGCAGTGCTGTCTGGGGTTCTGCAGCCAGAAAAGCCATGGTCAGGTGAGTGGAGGGGCTCAGTCTTGTTTCGAGGTGTGAGTGGCACACCACAGTCACAGGTGTGCAGTGGCCAGTGCAGAGCTCCCAGCCTGGTGACCAGGGGCTGCCAGTGCCCCCAGAAGCTCTCCAGGAAAAAGTGCCTATGCTGCATGTGCTCAGCTCTGACTCCTATGAGCTCTGAGGTACCTGAAAGCCACTTGCTGTAGGGAGCTGTTGTTATTGTGGTGATCCTGGAGATGAGCCCTGGCATGGCCCTGCCATGGCCCATGCCCTTGCCATCCCCACCCCTTTCCTCTCTGTGAAGGGAAAACACCAGGCTCACTCAGCAGTGCCTGCTGCACTGTGGCTTCCCACACACGGCCGGGCCTGCTGCTGGCTTTGGCCATCAGGTGCCTCTCAGGTCTCCTCCTGTTCCTCGTGCCAAAAGCTGGGGTCCAAAACCATGGAACCACTTGGGAACTGCTCCCAGCAGGTGCTCCTGGCTGAGACCCACAGACAGAACACTGGGTTTGTGGGTGGCTCACCCCACGGACAGAAAATTGCATTTGTGGGTGGCTCACCCCAGTGACAACCTGGAGTAGCCCTCTGGCACCCCAGACTCATGTGCCTGCCCAGGCAGTGTGGGACAACCAGGCTCCAGGGCTCATTTAGGAGAGGGGACCTGCCTCGTTTTCCCCAGGGAGAGGACTGGCTGGCTGGCCCCATGCTGGCATCAGCTAAACCTGTACCCCATGGCATCAGCACCAGTGGTGATGGAGCATGGGTGGGCAGGCGCTGGTGTGAGGGGTGTGCAGCAAGGTGCTGCTCATGGTGGCACAGAGGGCTTGGGCTTTGTTGCCCAAAGCAGCCCCCGAGGGTGGGCGTGGGGAGAGGTGCCCTCTGAGCTTCTCTGCACCAGCTTTGCTGCCCCGTGTTGGGATGCTGGGGATTAGTCTGCAAAGGGTGGAAACTGAGACACACTCCCCCAGCTGCTCAGGGCAGCTCTGGGTTCACCGTCTCCTCTGTGCTCTCACAGCTGAGAGGCCAAGGAGGGGAGGTGGTGTGTCCCACTGGGGACAGTGGGGCTGTTTGAACCTACACTGACACTCATAGGCATCGTGGTGGTCCACCACAGCAGAACTCTGCACTGGTCCTGGGGGTCAAAGCACCGTTAGAGACCAATAGAGGCTTCAAACTGTAAGCTGGAAGAGAGCTGGGAACATCGCAGTGCATGCCCCAGGGAGCCTGGGGAGGGGTCAGGGATCTGAGGGAGTTGAGGCTCAGGGAGCACCCCAGGTGGGGTTTTGGCTTCTTTGTGACTTTGGAGGCTCCTGCTACTCCTGGTGCTCTGACCACCTAGTTCAGAGCCGTGGGGCAGTGGATTAAGGCTGGGGCCCGGCGCTGGTGTGTTTGCAGGCTGATGGGTACCTCGGTGCCACCTCTCGCAGCACACGGGCTGGGCACGGGAGTGCGGGGCCCCGGGGCCACGGTTCTCTAGCTCTGCCCTCGGTGCCCAGCGCTAATTCGCCGTTAAATGTGGCTTGTCACTGTGTGACGGAATCGAATACAAGCGCTGTAGCAGCTAATTGCAGAGGAGCAGCTGAACGGGGCTGCCGGCGGTGTTTAAAGAAGATACAATCAAAGATGAGGCAGTGCCAGAGCATCTCTGCCGCCCCACTCAGCACAGGCTCGTAGCCACGTTGCAAACACTAATTAATTGAGTCTTGTAAACACTGCTGCGAGGAGGGTAAATATTGGCAGGTGCTGCGATTCGGGGAGGGCAGAGGACAGGCAGCCCGGCTGCAGAGATGTGCTGTGCTGTGCTGTGGGGGATGCTCTGCCTGCTGCGGGCTGCCCTCAGCCCCAGGTTGTCCCCTCCAGGGGCTGTGGGGGCTGGACAGGGCTGGCTGCACCCCAGTTGTCTGCTCTCCACCCTGGCTGGGGCTGCAGTCCCCAGGTAATTCTGCCTCCAAGAGGCAGTCCTGGTGTCTCTGGGGCACTGGTGTCCCCTCCTAGGGAGCTCTCCTGGCCCTGGCTCTGCCCCTGGCTTCTGGGGAGCTGCAGCAGGTTGAGGCTCTCTGGGCACTGTGCTGGGGATGGGGAGGAAGCGTCAGCAGCAGGGGCTCTCTACCACTGGAGCCCTGCATCTGCCACCCCTGCCATGCCCAGCAACATCCTTCCAGATCATCCTTCTGGGAGTGCCCAGTGCCCAGGGGATGGTGGGCAGGGGACATAATTTTCCCTGCTACATCCAGCACAGAGTGAGCCCCAGAATGTCCCATCTGTGCTCCTGGGGACCCAGGGACTGGTGTCACAGGGGAAAGCTGTGGCTTGGGGGTCCTGGGGGGCTGCAGGAGCTCAGGACATTGTGGTCTCTGCAGAAAAGTGTGAAGGAGGGGCTGTTGCTGAAGCAGACGAGCTCCTTCCAGAGATGGAAAAGGCGATACTTCAAGCTGCGGGGCAGGACGCTCTATTATGCTAAGGATGCCAAGGTAGGCTGTGGGGGAGCTTCCAGCACGCTCAGCTGGGGGGACCTGAGCCTGCCAGCCCAGGAGGGGACAGAGATCCCTGCCTGGTGGACTGAGGCTCTGCTTTCTCCCTTGCAGTCCCTCATCTTTGACGAGGTGGACCTGTCGGACGCTAGCGTGGCCGAGACCAGCACCAAGAACATCAACAACAGTTTCACGGTGAGGGGGGTGTGGGGTCCACCGCACCCCGTGGAGACCTCGGCATCTCGTAGGGAGGCACCGCGGAACCCCCTGACCCCCCCAGAGCCATGGGGTGCCCCGTAGCATGGCCTTGTGTGCCAGGGGTTTGCTGGGGGCTGTGCTGGGGGCTGGCTGGCCTGGCGGTGGCCTCGCGGGAGGACGTGGTGGTGGCTGTTGCAGGTGATCACACCGTTCCGGAAACTCATCCTGTGCGCGGAGAACCGGAAGGAGATGGAGGACTGGATCAGTGCCCTGAAGTCTGTCCAGAAGTGGGAGATCCATGAGGTGACGTGGGCAGGGGGCTACGGGTGGGTACCACTCTGAGTGCCTTTGGCTGCGAGGCAAGAGCTGCTGCCCTTGGCACAGCCCCACAAGGAGGACAGGAGTCAGGCCGGAGGGACTCTGGGGGCCAGGAGGGAGGGAGTGCCAGGTGAGGGTCCCTGGCACTGACGGTGCAGGGCTGTGCCCCCCAGCAGGCCACGCAGTTCAACATGGAGCACTTCTCGGGCATGCACAACTGGTACGCCTGCTCCCACGCCCGCCCCACCTTCTGCAACGTGTGCCGGGAAGCCCTCCCAGGGGTCACCTCACACGGCCTCTCCTGCGAAGGTCAGTGCCAGGGTCCTGCTGGGGGTGGGCAGGGGCCGGGATCGGGGCAGAGAACCCTCTTGGGACTGGACCAGAGCAGGAGGGGTGCAGGGTGATGCCCACTGGCTGCATCCCCAGATGCAGAGGGGGTTTGGGGCCAGGGCTGTGCATCCCATGGGGACCTTTCCTGTTCCTCATTGCTCCCCCCCCCGTGCAGTCTGCAAGTTCAAGGCACACAAGCGCTGTGCTGTCAGAGCCACGAACAACTGCAAGTGGACAACACTGGCTTCCATTGGCACTGAAATCATCGAGGATGAGGATGGGGTAAGCACGTGGGAGTTCCTGTCAGGGATCCTGTAAGGACAGATCCACTAGCTGAGCTGGTCTTGCTATGACCAAATCAGGAAGCAGGAAGGTCCCTGGTTGCTGTCCCCTGCACTGTGTGGCCTCTAGGCTTGGCTCTGCAAGGACATGGCCTGGGGACACCTCTACCACCCTGCATCAGGATCCCTTGTTGCTCTCCAAATGGGGCCTCTCCCAGACATTTTCTGGGGACACCTCTGCCCTGCCCCATGTACTGCAAGGGGCCAGGCAGGCAGGTACAAGAGGGCACAGGAGGGGTCTCAGGCCTGCCTTGCCCTACCCTTGGGCATCAAACTCTGCCCACCTCCTCCGTGGTGCCTGGGGGAAGGGGTGGCCTCTGACACTGTCCCTGAGGCACGCAGGATGACACTAGTGGCTGCCCCTCTCTGCAGGTGGCCATGCCCCACCAGTGGCTGGAGGGGAACCTGCCCGTCAGCGCGCGCTGTGCCGTCTGCGACCGCACCTGTGGCAGCGTCCGGAGGCTGCAGGACTGGCGGTGCCTCTGGTGCAAGGCCATCGTAAGGATGCACCCATCCCTGTCCCCACCCCTCTCCCGGCACAGACAGCACTGCCCCTCTGGGGTGCATCACTGGGAAAGCTGAGGCTGGGGACTTCAGTGCTGCGTCCCCCCAGCTTTGCTGATGCAGGTGTCCCCGTGTCTCCAGGTTCACAGTGCCTGCAAGGAGCAATTTGGCAAGAGGTGCCCCCTGGGCCAGTACAAAGTGTCCATCATCCCGCCGACTGCCTTGAACAGCATCGATTCGGATGGTGAGTCATGGAGAGCGTAGGGCTGGGCTAGGGGGAAAGACAAGCTGTTTGGGACAGGGCTCTGAGCTCTCTGAGCTCCTCTGCAGGCTTTGGCTTGTGGCACTGTGCCTGTTTTGTGGGGCACAGTTGCCTTGCGCTCTGCTCCAGGGCTGCAGTGGTGTCCTGTGGGCTTTGGGGTGGCACTTCTTGCCTGCATGTGGCTTCAATTGCTTCTGCCAGGCTACCTCTCATAGTGGCTCCGGTCACGGTCCCTCCATGCTGGGGTCAGTGGTGCCAGTCCTGCCCCCTTGATGTGCGGCTGTTGCACCCCAATGATTCAGCATCTAACAGGACAGGATGAGGTTCTTGCTTGGGTTATTTCCCAGTGTCTGAACCTCAGCTGGTTTTTTGGTAGTGCAGAGCACAGCTTTGCCCAGGCATGGGGCACTGCAGGGAGAAGCCACGCAGAGCCTGGGGGGACCCCTCCCACTATCTCTGTCTCCTGAGGGGCCCAGCTGGCCTCCGCTGAGCAAAATCTGTTCTTCTCCTCCGGATATTTCCTTCTTCGTTCTTTAATGCTTTTCACCACTCAGCTCAGCCGGTGGCTCATCTGCCTCTCGTTACTCATCGGGATGCTGTCAGGGTAACCATCACGCGGCTGCTCCTCGGCTCCAGAGCCTCCGCTGCTGGTGGCTGATCCCCGGCAGCGTCTCTGCCCTGTCTCTCTCCAGCAACCCAACCAGCCATGGCTGTGGATGCTGCCCACCCGCCTGGGCTCTGCTGCCGTGGGAGCAGCTCAGCGAGGCCTCGGCCCCCCCTTGTCCTGCCCCGCTGTCCCACTCGGGCACATGGGTGCCGCTGGCAGCAGGCTGTTCCGTGGCAGCCCACGCTCTGACTCAGCAGCCCCCAGTGCTTTGCGTTGCCGATCCGCTCTGCTCGGCTGGGAGCGGAGATGGAGCAGTGCCCAGGCCAGGAGGGGCTGGGCTGCGGGGATGTTGCCCCTGCTGTGCTGGAGGTGCTGAGGCTACTAGTCACAGCCTAGTGGGCTCCAAGGGCAGTGGCTGAGGGCTGGTGCCAGTGGCAGTGATGACTGTTGCATTCCCTGCTGCCAAGGGAAGCAGTCGTCAGGCACTGGCCGGGGGACTGGGGTGGCCAAGACGTGCCTGAGGCGGGTGCGGGCTCCTGGCCAGCTATCAGTCCTGCTCTGCCTCAGGCACATTTCGTTCCCTATCTCATTTCCTTAAAAGCACGGTGCTTCCTCTTCCCTGTGCCCCTCACCATCCCCTGGGCACCCTGATCGCTGTCCCTCCGGCCCCAGCACTCCACAGGTCAGGCACAGCACAGTCGGGGTGTCCACATGGCCTCTGCTCTCCTGAGGTGTCTGTGGGGACTGGTAGTTGAGGTTCACATGCTTGGGCTCACTGCAGGTTTTTGGAAAGCCACCTGCCCCTCGACCTGCTCCAGCCCTCTCCTGGCCTTTGTAAACTCCAAGAGTGGGGACAACCAGGGAGTCAAGTTTCTGCGCAAGTTCAAGCAGTTCCTCAACCCGGCCCAAGTCTTTGACCTCATGAATGGGGGCCCACACCTGGGGTAAGTGCCAGCCTGGGCACCCAGGGGTGGCCCTGGTGGGGTTCTGGCAGGCACCCAGCACAGCCCCCAACCCCTCTCTCCTTGCCCCCCATCCAGGCTGCGCCTCTTCCAGAAGTTCTCTACCTTCCGGATCCTGGTGTGTGGGGGGGATGGCAGTGTGGGCTGGGTGCTCTCTGAGATCGATGCCCTTGGCCTCCACAAGCAGGTGAGTGGGAGTCACCACTGGCACAGGCTGGCACCATCCCCAGCACTGGGCACTCAGCCCAGCTGGGACCTCCCTGTGTGCCCCGGGGTGCTGTGAGTGATGGGCAGGGTGGGGTTGGGGGTGTCAGAGATGCCCCTGGGGGCTGCTCTGAGCCCCCCCATCTCTCCTACAGTGCCAGCTGGGTGTCCTGCCCCTGGGGACTGGCAATGACCTGGCGCGGGTGCTGGGCTGGGGCAGCCTGTGCGATGATGATACCCAGCTGCTGCAGATCCTGGAGAAGCTGGAAAGGGCCACCACCAAGATGCTGGACCGGTGAGCATGGCACGGGACACACACCACTCTGCCCCTGTCCTGCCTTGGCACCTCTCAGGCAGCCTGTCCCTGTTCCCTGCCCATCCCTGTGCTGGAGGACCAGGAGGTGGCAGACAGCCACGGTCTCTGCTTGGCAGGTGGAGTGTGCTGACCTACGAGGCCCCCAAGCAGTCCCCTCCAGCCCTGAAGGAGGAAGAGAATGGGGACTCCAACATCCAGGTGGGAATTGTTGGCGTTTGAGGGCTTGAGATGGGGGAGGGCAGGCTGGAGGGCAGGTTTCTGTTCAACCCATCAGTCTATTTGGGGGCACACAGAAAGGGATTGCACAGGGAGAGGTCATGCTGGGGGTCCCTGGGGATTGAGGCTATGAGGGGGCTGTCAGATGGCTGCATGCAATGAAATGAGTCTGGCAGGTCTCAGCATGTGCAGTTGGGAGCAGGCAGCAGGTGAGGTAGAGCTGGCCTGCTGCTGGCCAGCTGCTTTGGACTCTTCTGTGTCCTCCCCTTCAGCCTCTTGCCTCAGTTTCCCTCCTACTGTGGCTGAGCATCCCCTCTGCCCAGCAGCAAGGGCAGGGCTGCCCTCAGGGATGGGGAGCAGGCTGAAGAAGGGCTGTTCACCTCCAGTCCAGGGCTGGCCAGGCAAGGCTCCATCCTCGAGTGGGGCACACGGCAGGATGGCAGGGCTCCAGCTGTCCTCCCCTGTGCCTCTCCAGGCCCAGATCTCCCATTATGCTGACTCTGTTGCCTTCCACCTGGCCAAGATCCTGGAGTCGGACAAGCACTCAGTGGTGATCTCCTCTGCAAAGTAAGGAGGGGGCTGTCGATGGGGGTGCCAGAGCCCTCTTGCTGGGCTGGGTCATGTCCCCGTGGGCACTGCACCCCTCTCAGCCAGGCTGTCTCATCTGGCCACCAGCAGCTGCCAACTGTGCTGGTGCCCAGCAGATAGTCCTGGCACTGCCCCTCTGGAGTTGGGGGTGCTATCCCAGCAGTCCCCCTGGCTGGCATCTGTACCCAGCTGGCCATGCTGTGCCCCTCTCCACCTCCTGCTGCTTCCCTCGGCAGGTTCCTCTGTGGCACTGTCAATGACTTTGTGGCTGAGGTGGGCCGGGCTTACAAGAGGGCAACAGAGAACAAGCAGGAGGCTGAGCTGATGGCAAGAAAGGTGGGTTGCGGGGTAGCTGGAGAGCTGGGGCAAGCTGGTGGCACAGCCCCGGAGGAGTGGGGGGCTGGGAGGGGCTGTTCTGGGGAGCCGTGTCCTTGCTGTGCATGTATTGGGGTGTTCTGTGCTTGGGGGTGCCCAGGCATGGGGTTTCCAGATGCTTGGGGATGCCCAGTCACTCAGGGTGCCCAGGGAAGCGCCCAGCACTGACAGGGGCAGCAGCTCGTGCTGGGTGCTGAGCAGGGTGGGGGTCCCACAGTGTGCCATGCTGAACGAGAAGCTGGACTCGCTGGTGCGGGAGCTGAATGAGGAGGCTCAGGCCATCATGGTCCCCGAGGGAATGGCACAAGCCACCCCTGCTGATGCCAAGGACCAGGAGAAAGGTGGCAGCTTCAACCCCAGCCCCGTGCCTCGCATCTTCAAATCCAAGGAGCAGCTCATGCTGCGGGCGAACAGCCTGAAGAAAGCCCTGCGGCAAATCATCGAGCAGGCGGAGAAAGGTGAGGGGGTGGTGGGGACTGGCAGTTTCCCTGATGCTGCAGCAGCCTGGCACGGGCTGTGGAGCCACCGTGGGTTGGTGCTGGACCCGTGCCTTGGCTTCCCCTCACGAACTGCATCAGCCCTTCTCTGACGCTTGGTGTGGTTGAGGGAGATTCCCATCCCAGGGCAGAGTTGCCACCCTGGGCCCTGGCTGGCACGAGCCCCCAAGGCTGACCTGGGGAGGGGGCACAGGGCCACGGGGTTGCCCAGACTCCCTGTCATGCCCCTCTTTGCATCCAGCTGTGGATGAGCAGAACAAGCAGACCCAAGCCTATCGTGGCACCGTGGGCGCCAGCAAGGACAGCTCAGAGGAGCTCAACAAGGAGGAGGAGAGGCTCAGTAAGATGCCAGTGGGGCACATGCTTTTTTGTGGGGGCACGAGGGTGAGCTGTGGAATGGGCTCAGGGTGAGCACCCGTGCAGCAACTGCCTCCCTCTCCCCCCTGGTCAGGCTCCCGGCGGGTGACGGTGACCTCTGCATCTTCCTCCATCATCCTGGACCGGCCAGACACCTTCGGCAGCTTGCAGTTCCCCGAAGACCCCAGCACCCTGTGAGTCTGGGCTCCTGCCTGCCCCGGCGACCCTGGCCCACCCTTGCTTCCCCTCATGGAGTGGGAGCAGAGCTGGTACCACGCTGCCTCTTGGAGATGGCTGCTGGGCAAGCCTCCCGACACCAGTGTGGTGTCCCTCGTGCCAGGCACTTCCCAGCCCCGCAGTGCCCGTGGTGGGGGAGCCTGCCTGTGCCTGGTGTGGGATCTGTAGCTGATACTGGGAGCTCGAGGCTCCCCCCTGCCCAGTGCAGTCAGGTCCTGGGTGTTCCACATGTGTCCTGCTGTGGGGACTGAGGGGACTGCAGCCATCCCTGCTAGCTTTGATCAGGCTTCCTGGTGCCAGCCCCTCTGGGAGCTCATGGCACTGCTCTGGCAGATGTTACACCCCATCCTCCAGTACCAGCCCAGTGGTGCCATTGTGCAGCTGCCTCCCAACCCAGTGTCCTTGCCTGCTGCTTTCAGCCACTTCTTGGAGAAATGCGTCATGAATAACTACTTTGGCATTGGTCTGGATGCAAAGATCTCCCTGGAGTTCAACAACAAACGGGATGAGCACCCCAAGAAGTGCAGGTTGGCTGGAACCCCCCAATTTCCCCCAGAAAAAACTTGTATCCCTGGCTCTCCAGTGCCTGCACCAGGAGGGACTGTCAAGATGCCAGGAGCTATGGGTGTGGCTTCGTGCTGCTGTGCTGGGGACTCCTGCCTGCAGCGGGTGTTCACCTGCACCCAGTGCTGGGACGAGCACCCTGCGGGTGGGCAGCAGGCTGCAAGTACCCCAGGAAGTGTGAACTCATGAGGGCTTGGTGGGATTTACTCACTCTGCACCTGGGTAGAGGGACAATGCCGTGCTGGCATGGAAGGGTCCACATCTGGGTGCCACGTGCTGTGGCTTGGCTCTCCTGGGAGCAGGCAGCCGGCAGCCCCACTGCTTAGGAAGTGGGGAAAGTGAGGCAGGGCCAATGGCCCAGGATGGTTCTGCCCAGTGTCCCCAGGAGGGTGCAGAGCCCCCTGACCCTTCCCTCTTCGCCCCACAGCAGCCGCACCAAGAACATGATGTGGTACGGGGTGCTGGGCACCAAGGAGCTCCTGCAGCGCACCTACAAGAACCTGGAGCAGCGGGTGCAGCTGGAGGTACGGGGTCAGGGGAGCAGAGATAGGGCAGGGGGGGTGGCATTGCAGCGGCCCCCCAGGCTCAGCCCTCTCTTGCAGTGTGACGGGGTGCCCATCTCGCTGCCCAGCCTGCAGGGCATCGCTGTCCTCAACATCCCCAGCTATGCTGGGGGCATCAACTTCTGGGGAGGCACCAAGGAGGACAATGTGAGTGCCAGTGCTGTGAGGTGGGTTGGAGGGGCATGATGTTCCTTCCCACAGTCCCAGGAAAAACCCAGGGTTGGGGTTTTTCCTGCCTTGAACGCACATGGGGGAAAAAGCTGGGTCCCAGAATGAGCCCAGTTTGGAAGTCTTGCTTGTACTGGTCTTCTACAGAACTTTGGGGCTCCATCCTTCGATGACAAGAAGCTGGAGGTGGTGGCTGTCTTTGGCAGCATCCAGATGGCTGTGTCACGGGTCATCAACCTCCAGCACCATCGCATCGCACAGGTAGGGGCGAGGAACCTTGTGGGTGCCACCACCCTGAGCGGTGCCAGAAGGCTTTTGGGGCAGCAGTGGAGACTGGGGCAGTGCGGTTCCACTTGGCTCAGTTCCTGCCTGGCCCTTGCATGGCCCTGGGAGGCTCTTCAGCCAGAGGTGCAGAGCGAGCCGCAATGCCAACCATGGGCTGTCCGCCCCACAGTGCCGCGTGGTGAAGATCACCATCCGGGGGGATGAGGGCGTCCCCGTGCAGGTGGATGGAGAGGCCTGGATCCAGCCACCTGGGGTCATCAAGATCCAGCACAAGAACCGAGCCCAGATGCTGACAAGGGACCGGGTGAGCTTGGGGTGCACAGCAGGACCGTGCTGGGCCGCAGGGAGGTGTGACAGGCTCAGGGGGGCCATGTCTGTCCCCTGCAGGCATTTGAAAGCACCCTCAAGTCCTGGGAGGACAAGCAGAAAGGGGAGAGCTACCGAGCAGCAGCCCGACCACGGCTCAGCTCCCAGCAGTCCATGGAGTACCTGACGGAGGAGGAGAGCAGCCTCTTACAGCAGGTCTCACGGGTTGCTGAGACCCTCATTGCCAGGTCAGACTGCGGGAAGCGGGATGTGGTGGGCACGGGGACGAGGGGAGAGCTGTGCTGTGGCCACGCAGAACTGCCTGCCCAGCCCAGGGGAGCCTGAGCAGCTCCAGCCCCTGTCACCCACAGGATCCATGAGGCAGCCAAGGCTCACAAAGCTGTGGAGCAGGAGCTGGCTCACGCAGTCAACGCCAGCTCCCTGGCGCTGAGCGAAGCCCTCTCCAACAAAGCTGCTGGCACCTCAGAGGTGAGCTGGGGCTGGGAGTGCAAGGCAGCCTCCTTCACCCACCCTCCCAGGGCTCTGCTGCTCAATGGTTACCCCTCTGTGCCCCCCAGTTTCTCAGCAGGAATGCGGCTGTGGAGGTGGTGCTGAGCATCAAGGAGCTGTACACTGAGACCAGGGCATTCCTGGAGGGGAAGGCGGTGAGTGAGGGGCTGGGTAGCACCCAAAATCCCCCAGCAGAGGGGCCTGTGCCCTTGGCTGGTACCTCTGGGGGTGGCAGCAGGGCTGGGGATGGTCCCTGTCCCCCACAGCTGGACTCACCGCAGGAGGAGGAGGCCCTTCACGGCCCCCTGAATGTGCTGGGCCAGGAGCTGCAGCGGCTGCTGGACATCCACTGGCTGGGGCCCATTGCCCACCCTGCTGAGGAGGTGGGTGCACAGGGGCTGGGGATTGTCTCCGGGGAGCTCTACCACCCTGCTCAGCCTGGCTTCTTGCAGGAAGGTGCTGGCAGCGCCAACAAGGGCAGCTTCAAGCTTCGCCTCAACATCCCCAAACCCAGGAAGGAGAAGGACAAGCTGCAAAAGCAGAAGGCCAACAGCGCGCTGCCAGGTAAAGCGAGCAGTGTGCCAGGGAGAGACAGGTGCAGCCTCTGCTGACCTATCCCTTGGCCTCCTGTCCTGGGCATGCTGTGGGAAGGGGGACAGGGCATGTCCTGGCTGCCTGGGGCTGTCACCTTTGTCACCCGTAGCCCCTTAAAACTTACTTTTTCTGCTGTCATACATGCAGAGCCCCCCAGCCCTGTAACTCCACTGCAAGGGGGAGAAAGGGGCTGTGGTACTGCTCAGCCCTTTGGGTAAGTCCCTCACCCAGAGCTGGGGGTCTTGTTGAGGGGGAGCAGCTCATTTGTTCTGTAAGTAAGCTACAGAGAGGACAGACCTCTCCAGCTTGAGCCTGCTGCAGCCTCTGGCCCTGCAGGAGCCAAGGGTGGGAGGGGGGATGCTCGCTGCTGGCTGCCTGCCCTGCTGTGCCCGGCTGCCTCCGCAGGCCCCAGGCCACCTCTGTGGTTTTCCTCCCTTGCTAGCAGAGAAGTGGGGCTCCGAGGAGGTGGCAGCTTGGCTGGAAGCGCTCGGTTTAGGGGAGTACAGAGACATTTTTGTCCGGCATGACATCCAGGGCTCAGAGTTGATCCTGCTGGAGAGGAGAGACCTGAAGGTACAACCCCCTTATGCCCCCTGAGGGACCCCCAGGCCTGGGGAGCATGGTGTCCTCCATCCCTCCTCTCCCCATCCCTCCTGGTGGTGGGGCAAAGGCAGGTGCTGACCCTCCACCTGGCCCCGCAGGGCTGAGCTTGCGCAGCTTGCACACAGGGGCTGGAAGCAGGGGAGGGGCTGTCCCTGGTCCTCCAGCTTGCAAGGCTCCAAACACCTGCCCAAAGCAGGATCAACAGCACCCTGCCCTCTCCTGCACCCAGGCATGGGGACATGCTTGTAAGAGGACAGAGGGCTCCAAGCAAGCACCATGCTCCAGCAAAGAGAGCAGGGGGAGCTGGGCTGTGCAGCCTTGTCTTTGCCCTGAGGCTTCCCTGCCAGTGAGAGCCCAGGGCTGGCCCCTGCAGGTACATCAGCTCCCCTCTTTCCTTCCTGCAGGACCTTGGGATCACCAAAGTGGGCCACATGAAGAGGATCCTTCAGGCCATTAAAGAGCTCAGCAACCCACCCTAGGGCTGGCAGTGGGGCAGCAGCCCAGCCCTGGTGCTGGCTGGGTGCTGCTCACAGGGACCTGGGGGCGGGTAAGGGAACAGATCCCTTCCCTGCCCCATGTGTGTGGAGCCCCCTCGCTTGCCTCGCTGTATCTGTCTGTCCCCACTGTCCCTGGAGCCACTGCTTCTCCCTAAGCCTGTGGGGCTGGAGACACTAAAGCAGAGGTCTAACCCCATAGATGATGTGGTCTGACCAACAGTCCAGCCCCAACAGGGTCACTACAGGAGCTGGGGCCACCCTCTCTGCGCCCAAGCTGGGGCCAAAGCAGTTTCCCCTTCCCCATGTGGGTATTTAAGCTGTGTAAATATTTGGAGAGAAGATACTCATTGCTGCTGCTCGTGTAGTGTCATTACTAAGGGGAAAGCGAGGGGTGGGGAGGAGGGAATTGGGAATCCCTTTCTGCCCTTCACCCCTCAGGTCCCTACTCCCCCGTCATGGAACCCCCAACCCTGCTCTCACCCTCTGTCCCATTACAGCAAGGGGAAGTACAGCACTGGGGCTCATAATCTCCCCTGCCAGCGTGTGTGACAGACACATTTTTATTAACAAACACATTTTATTAACAGTTACACATGACTTTTTTTTTTCCCCCCTCTTCTTCAGTTAAAATTACTATTATTTATGTACACAGTACCCCACCGCCCAAGGGCGCCCCGTTATTTACAGGCTTTATTTACAGAGTAGGACTAGCAGCTGGTGAGTGCCTTCTCGAGCTTGAGCATGTCCATGGGGGCAAGTTTGGCAACCTCAAAGAAGACCCTGAAAAGAACACGTTTGCTTAGAGCTCAGCCCCAGCCCTGACACCCATTCACCAGTGCGCCCAGCTCCCCACAGCACCCCAGGGTGGGGGCTGGTGGGGCCACCCCCTGTGATGGGGACAGGCCTGAGACAGAGCCCACGACACTCACCTGTGTGAGTACTTGCTACGCACGGTGTTCAGCTTGTCGCGGGGCTGATACGTGAGCAGGAAGTTCAGCCTCTTCACCAGGGGATGCAGGTCCTGGGCACTGTACCCACTGTAGTATTCCAGTGTAGGGGTCTGCAAGGGGACAACAGGGCTAAGCTGAGTCGTCTCAGTGATGAGACAGCCATCATCTTCCCTTTTCCAGTCCCCCAAATGTGATCATAGCCCTAGAGCATCATCCCACCCAGCGGTCCATCGCCCCCCACATCCCCGAGGTGTCCCCCGGGGCGCCTCAGCAGGGACAGGGGATTAGGCAGGCACTCACCCAGCCCCCAAGGTTCTTCATGGTAAGCGCCAGCAGCAGGCAGCTGGCAGCCAGCTTTGAGGGGCTCTCACGGGCGTAGTCGTACTCCTGCAGTGTCATCTCGCAGAGGAAGCGGGCCAGCGTCAGCGTCTCCATGGTGGCACGGGCACACTGCAGCCAGGGGGCAGGGAAAGGCTCAGCCTTTTGAGCAACGCTGCTCCCCTCCCCAGCATCTTTGAGATCAAGAGTGCTGGCCCTGGGGCACAGGACAGAGACCCCACACCCCACCACAAGTCAGCATCCTCAACCCTTATGTCTCTTGAGGGGGCTGGACAAACCTTCCTTGTTGCCAGCTGGGAGCCTGAAGCCCTGGGAATGCCTATCACCACCCCCTGGAGCCACCACAAGGGGTGCCTGGGGGCACCCGGGTGCCAGCCCACCCTCCAGCTGCACCAACCTTGGCAAAGCGCCGCAGGAAGCGGTAGGGGATGGGGATGTTGATGTCGAACTTGAGGGTGCTGAGGATGCTCATCTCCATGGCCAGGAGCTCCTCCCGCTTGTAGGCATCATCACAGATGTAGAGGAAATCATCCACGCACGGTGGGCACCGCTCCTGACAGGACATAACTGCTCAGCACCCCAGTGGGGGCTTATTCTGGCTCCACTCAGGAGATCCCACACGTCCCACAGACCCTGTCAGGGTTCACACGCTGCTGGACCCCACAAGGACTGTTAAAACACCCCATGGGCTTCTGTGAGGTCTCTGCTGCCCCAGCCCTTAGCTTGAACTGCATGCTTGCATGAGGTGAACTCAGGTGTCCTGAGGGTCTCTGCAGAGCAGAGTCAGGTCTCAGTGACCCCAGGAGACAGGAGCCAGCCCACCATGACTGCATTCACAGCCTTGGGACAGGAAGACGCAACATGAGCAGCTCTCAGGGCAGTGGCCTGTGACCTGGCCTTCTCCAAAACCCCACAGGGACCAGAGAGGCACAGCCCCTTCTGCCCCTGCTCCCTAGGACAGCGTGGAAGGAGTTACCTCGAATTTGGAGGCAATGAGGATGGCAGTGGAGCCGATGAGCTGCAGCTTCTCCCTCATGCTCACCACCTCCACCAGGTAGTGGTCCACCAGCTTCACAGCCAGGTAAAGTGTCTCATGGTTCAGCTCAAAGTTCTCCTGTAAGGATGCAGGTGGGGGGCAGGACATGGTATCAGGCAGAAGCCTGGCCTACCCTGCCCCCTCAGCTCTCACAGGGGCCAGGCTCAGAGGGAGGGGTGTAGGCTCATCCCTAGCCCGGGGAGGGGGAAGATCAGCTTTGTACTGGAGACGCTCACAGGAGCTTCTGCCAGCACACAAAGGTCCCATGTAACAAAGGCATCATGGGGGGCTGTTCTGCAGAAGGCCATGGCCCCTCACCTGCACCTCCACCATCCAGTCCACGAGGATGGCACGCATGTCCCCAGTGATGTCCGGCTGTTTCTCCATGTAGTCAGGAAGCATGAATTTCTCCTGCCGAAGAACCAGCTATCAGAGACTGGACAGATAACCCCCTCAAAAGAGCCCCTTCCCACCCTGTGCAAGCCCCCACCAGGTGCTCAGAGCCTCTGGGCAGTGGGTGGCCCTGCCCACACAGTCACCCCTTCCCTGGACAGGGCTGCCAGCCCCCTGGACAGGCATTGCCCACCTCTCGTTCCCGCATGTATTCGAAGATCTCCTTGGCATACTCTGCACTGGCATAGGGGTCACCCAGCTGCTCCTTGTCGATGTCCTCCACTGCTGGTACCTGCTGGGACAGAGGAAGCACCAGTAAGAGGGGGCCCTTAGCTCTGTGGGTGCTGGTCACCCCATCAGGGCAAGACTGCTGCCTCTCTGCACTCCTTTTTCTACCTGCCCTCATCATCCTGCAGCCCCTGCCCCATTCTTTCCCATGAGAGAATTCTTGGATGAAGATGGTGGGGGATTTAACTCCCCTCCCCAGCTTCCCATCACACTGGCCCAAGCCTCTCCAAGGTCCAGAGCACTGCCTGGTGCCCTGTTGTCACCGGTGGCAGCCACAGACCAGTGCTGTGAAGATGAGCCTGGGGCCATGCTGCAGTCCAGGGTCCTTACCCTCTCCTTGGGGGGCTTCAGTTCCTGCACAGGTACCGGCTTCTCTGGAACAGGATCCACCTCAGGCTCTGAAGGAGCTTTCGGGGGAGTTTTCTTCATTGACCTGGGCAGGACAAGAGTATAAATCATTCCTGGGAGGAGTCCATATCTCCTGGCAGAAAGGGGCTCTCCAGAGCCCCTTGCTGCTTCAGGAAGGGGCTAAACCACCCCTAAAATATCCCCACAGAGACTTAGAATCATTTAGGCTGGAAAAGACCTTCAAAGACCAGGAGTCCAACTGTTCCCTGTAGCACTGCCACGTCCACCACTAAACTACGTCTCGCAGTGCCACATCCATATGGTTTTTAAATCCCTCCACGGATCGAGATTCTAGAACTGAGCCTGTACCAGGGCTGGACAACCCTTTAGGGGAAGAAATTTTTCCTAATGTCCACCCTAAAACTCCCGTGGCACAACTTGATGCCATTTTATCTCCTGTTTACCGCCCGCATCTGGCTCATAGTCTCCATCACCCAAGGGAAGCCTCTGCTACCACTTGTTCTTCCCTATGGGACAAGTTTGCAGGTGCTGCCCACTGCCCTGCAGCAACCCCCTTGCCCACAGCTACTCACTTTTTCAGGTTGATCTCGTTGTTCTTGGCCACCCCTAGTGTGCCCTGTGCCTTCTGTGCCTTGGGCGGTGCCACTTTCACAGCCTCCTTCTTCCCTGCCACCACCTGGTTCTTGCGAGCCTGTTTGGGTCAGAACAGAGGGATACAGGGGCTGCACAGAGGGAAGCGAGATATGCCCTGCAGGGAGACCTCTCCTCTTGCTAGTGGGGCATGGGACATATCCCAACCTCCCGTGGGGAGCTTACAGGGGGCACCAAAGCCCCCATCCTCACAGAAGTACTCACATTGGTGATGTCCCCAAATGCCGACCTCTTCTTGGGCCCACCCTGGGGCGAGGACGAAGATCTCTTGGCGTAACAGTTCTCTTCCTGCAATAGAGGCTGTTAGAAGGTGGTGGTCAGCTGCCCCACTGGAGCCCCCCTCCCACCCCTGGCCTGGCTCAGGACTCACCTTCTCAGGGTCAACATTCTCTGCTGTGGGGCCCACCTTGCCTGCCCGGGTCTGCTTGGTGGCCAGCATCTTGGCGTTGCGTGGCAGCGGCGTCCTCTCCCTCGGCAGTGGTGTCCTCTCCTTAGTCCTCCGCGAGCAAGCTGGGGGCAGAGCAGGGTGTGAGGCTGCTGTCTGCCCCTGGGGACACCCCCCCCCCCTTGGGGCAGAATAGGGGGGCATTTTGTCCCTCCTGGGGGGTAGCACAGCAGGGACTGACCCCCAACCCCTTCCCTGAGCATGGCAGGCGGGTTGTGCCCCAAGACAAGCCCAGGTAGGGAGCAAGTCTGGCTGCGGGTGCACCTCCCAAGAAGGAGAGAACATGGAGCCCTAAGACTCACACTTAAAGCCCCCTGCAGGGATGCGGGGGGGGGCGGGGATGTGGAGGCAGTTCCCAGCTTCCTGCACCCCAGAGAAGGATGCAAGGGCTTGTACTCCCTCGGAGACCCCCCTCTCCCTTGCACACGCCGGGTGGTCTCAGTTACCCTCGCTCCCCTGCACGCACCACCCGGGGATGCCAGCGTCCCCCACTTACCTGCCCCCTCCCCTTCCGGGATTCCCCAATCCACTGCAGCACACCGGGGTGCTCGAACTCTCTGCTCACCCAACCCTTCCGGGGTTCCCAGCGCCCCCCAGAGCCCCTGTACCCACCCTCAGCCATTACCCGTCCCGCACTACCCTATGCCCGGTACCCGCTCTTCCCCATACCCGTCCCACACCCGTTCCCGGTACTCGCTCTCCCCCGTGCCCTGTACCTTCACTCACCCATGCCCGGTACCCGCTCTCCCCATTACCCGTCCCACACTCACCCATGTCCGGCACGCTTTACCCCATTACCCGTCCAACACTCCCCCATTACTCGGTACCCGCTCTCCCCATACCCCACACTCACCCGTGCTCGGCCCTCTCTCCCCCATTACCCGTACCCTCTCTCCCCCATTACCCGTACCCTCTCTCCCCCATTACCCGTACCCTCTCTCCCCCATACCCGTACCCTCTCTCCCCCATACCCGTACCCTCTCTCCCCCATTACCCGTACCCTCTCTCCCCCATACCCGTACCCTCTCTCCCCCATTACCCGTACCCTCACTCCCCCATTACCCGTACCCTC